TTATCAGATAAGCATCTGGTGTGTATGTGTTTTCGGGAGGGACAAGGTTCCATTCATGACAGGATATTAGCAATCTCCCTGGGCCCTATACACCAGGTGCCAGGTACACACACATACCCATTTTAACAATCAAAAATGTCTCCAGACATTGCCAGATGTCAATCGAAAGGTCTATCACCCCTGGTTAAGAATCACTGCTTTAGAGTAACAGCTAATCTAAAACTATCCTAAAAAAGGCTAAAACAAATTCTCAACAAGCTAAAATTGGTCACTAATCAACCTTCTGAAGAATGAAATTCTCTAAAGGAAGAAAAAACCCTCAATAAAACAAATGAAAGGTTGTTCCCAACAATACAAATATGAAAAGGTAAAAAATTCCCCTATTTTAAAATATATATATAAAGCAAGACAAAATGGTCAAAAAGCACCACTTTGAGGCACTGGAATCAACCAAAGGCAAATAGTAAGTTGAGAATTATTTATTCTTGAAATAATTCAAGAATAAATTCAAGAGCTGTGGAAAAGAACCACTGAATTCTCTGGTATTCTTGAGTGAGATTCCCATCCTCTCCTAAATTAATCAGTACAGACTGTAGCTTTATCAGACTGTGGCTGACTGCAAAAACAAGCAATTTTGTACTAAGAGGGAACGGACTTGATTCAGAGCAAGGGTATAAACCTACAGCTTTGTCAGTTAAAAGTAAAAATCAGTTAGGAATGGACAGAGAAAACCCGTGGCTGCTAGCCAAAGATTACAGTCCCAGTTCTTGGAGACCAGTAGAGCAGCCAGAAATTTAACAAGATCATCTTGGAAAGAGGATACATTAAAAACAAACGAGCAAGCAAAAAAAAAAAAAATCCATTTGACATAAAACATAATCCAGAGTTGGTATATTACCTAAAATGTCCAGTTTTCAGCCATAGAAGGGCTAAGACTGGCTCTCCAAACATTTCCATCTAACTCAGAAATCATGCATGCACAAGGGGAGACTGAGAGAACAAAGCAAAAGTAAAAGCCAACAAATACTTGAAAACTGGCTACAACATTGAATATATCACCCATTCCACAGAGGGAACAATTAGCAGAGGGTAGGTTTATAGACCAAAAGTATTTGATATTTTAAACACTGTCTAAATCACTGGCTGATTACCAAGTTATACAGAGATAGAGGTTATGCCCAGGGAGCCAGGATAAAAATTGAAGTAATTAAAAAAACCTGAGAAGACACAGCCAACAGCTCCACACCACAAGAACTTTGAATCCAGGCAAAATGATACATTAAAAACAAACAAGCAAGCAAAAAAAAAATCCCTTTGACATAAAACATAATCCAGAGTTGGTATATTACCTAAAATGTCCAGTTTTCAACCAATAGTTATTAGACATGCAAAGGAACAGTAAAGTGTGAAACATACTAAGGGAAAAAAGCAGCAGTTAATGGAAGCTGAGTATGTATGGGCCTAAATGTTAGATTAGCAAAGATGTCAATAAGATATTATTAAACAAAAAAAAAATCCCTTTGACATAAAACATAATCCAGAGTTGGTATATTACCTAAAATGTCCAGTTTTCAACCAATAGTTATTAGACATGCAAAGGAACAGTAAAGTGTGAAACATACTAAGGGAAAAAAGCAGCAGTTAATGGAAGCTGAGTATGTATGGGCCTAAATGTTAGATTAGCAAAGATGTCAATAAGATATTATTAAACATGTTCAGAGATTTAGAGGTAAATATGTTAAATGAGTCAATAAAGAAGAAATCTTTATAGATAAATATAAACTATAAAAAAGAACCAAATTCAAATTCTATAGTTAAAAAGCTTAAATTAAAAATTGTTAGGCTCAACAGCAAATTTAAGGTAGTAGAGGATCAATGACTTAAAGATGTATCAACAGAAAGTATGCAAAGAACTGAATGAAAAGAGAGTGAAAAAATCAACAGAAACATTGAAGACCTGTGAGACAATGACAAGCATTCCAACATACATGCAACAGAAAAGAAGATAGAGGAGAAAAAAATACCTGAACCTAAAACTTTCCAAATTTGATTAAAAACATTACCATTCAGATGCAAACAGCTGACCAAAACCCTAGTAGGATAAATACAAAAAGAACTACATCTAGAAACATCATGTCAGAATGACAAACACAAAGAAATCTTTGATGGAACCAGAGAAAAATTATTTATCACATAAAGGGAACAACATGATTAGCAATGAACTTCTTACCAGAAATAATGAACAGAAGGCAATGGAATGAAACCTAGAATTATATATCAAGCAAAACTATCATTCAGAAGTAAAGTCAAAATAAAAACATTCCCCCCAAAATTGAAATAATTTGTTGCTAATAGACCTACCCTATTAGAAATAATAAGGTTCTTCAGGCTGAAAGAAAAAAATGCCAGATTGGTAAAATAGATATACAGGAAGGAATGAAGAGTACCAAAAATAATGAATATAAAAGATTCTGTTTTCTCTTTTTGCTCTTAATATAAAAAGATGTTAATTCAAAGAAATAATTATAACAGCAAACTGTTGTGATATATAAATACACACAATCAAATAAATGCATATTTTAGTAATATATACAACAATGATAGCATAAATTAAAAGGGGAAAAAAATGAAGCTACACAGATGCAAAGTTGCTATTTTTTACCAAAATGAAGTCAGCGGTAACTTGAGAAACTGAGATAAATTTAAGATGAATAGAAAAATCTCTATAGCAACCACTAAAATAAAAACTCAAAAATTATAAATATAGCAGATTTAAAATGGTACACTAAAAAGATTGTCTTGTCCAACCCAAAGTAAGGCAGGAAGAAAAAGGAGTAACAACAAAGCCCCATGTGACATAAAGAAAACAAACAGGAAAATGGCAGACATGAATCCAGTCTTACTAATATTTACATTAAACAAATGAATTAAACATTCCAATCAAAAGACAGACTAAATTTTGGCTGGATTTTTAAAACTCAAGATACAACCATGTGCTTTCTATAAGAGATATATTTTTAATTCAAAGATACACTAGATTAATGTAAAAGGACAGAAAAAGATCAAACAGTAAATATAAGACAGCTGAAGTGGCTATATTAATATCAGACAAAATAGACATTAAGATGAAAAATATTACTAAGAGGGATATTTCATAAAGGCAATGGGGTTAGTACAGTAGTATGATAAAACAATAACAAATGAATATGAACCTAACAATACAGTCTCAAAAATAATATTACAGAAAAATTGACAGATCTGAAAAAAAGATATTCAATAATTAGAACTGAGAGGTATCAGTATTTCTGTATCAGTAATGGAAAGAAAAACTATACAGAAAATCTGTAAGGATACAGAACTTTTTCAATATATTCAATCAACTTATCCTAAAAGACATAGAATACTCCACCTAACATCAGAATACACATGGACCATTCACCAAGATAGACTACATTGTGGACCACAAAACAGTACCCAGAAATTTTAAAGGATTGAATTATACAAAGCAATTTTTCTATCCACATCAAGGGCAGCAAATCAAATCACACCTACGTGCTGAATCCAGATCACTGCATTTTATATAAAGTTTTACTGAAATATAACCCTATTCATTTGCCTATTTTTCTGTGATTGCTTTTCTCAGCAGAACTGAGCAGTTAGTTACAATAGAAACCATAAGGCTGGCAAAAGCTAAAATTGTAGAAAATCTTAGGAAATTTCCAAATTAGTAATCAACACAGAAAAACACATCTGGGAAACTCAAATATTTGGAATTCATAAGAGACACTTCCAAATAACCCACTGGTCACTGAGGACATCACAAGAAAAATTAGAAAATGTCTTGAGTGAAATGAAAATAAAAATGACCTATCAAAGTACAGCTTTTAAGTGGTTGAATTAGAAAGAAAATTCTAAAATAATCTAAACATCCATCTTAAGAAGCCAGAAAAAGAATAAATTAAGCCCGAAGTAAATGTATTATAAAAATTAAAATTTCAAATCAGAAATCAGTGGAATAGAAACAGATAACAGAAAAATCAATGAAACCAAAAGTTAAATTATTTTTAAAGAGTACCTAATAAAAGCTTAGCAAGAATGAATAAGGAATAAAAATTAAACAAATACATAGCATTACCTGTGCTCCAGATACTATATATAAGCATTTTTATATTAACGGGCATTTTTAAGACCACTTTATTCAACTCTCAAGGATGAGAAAATACTACAAACTTTATGCAATTCAAGTTGAAAATTTAGATTTAGACAAATTCTTCAAAATCCAAATTTACCAAAACTAGAGACAAGAAATATGAATACTCCGATACTTGCTAAGGAAGTAAAAACTGTAACTAAAAATCTTTCCATAAAAAAAACTCCAGGCCTCAATGGTTTTATTGGTAATTTTTTCTTACATTTGAAGAGGAAATATTATCAATCTTGATAAACTCTTTCAGAAAGTACAAAAAGAAGGAACAGTTTCTAATTCATTTTATAAGGCCTGTAAACCCTGATACCAATACATGACAATGCTGTGACGCAAAAAGAAAACCACAGATCTTATTCCCTCAAGGAACCAGAAACAGACAAAAAATCCATAACAAAATATCATAAATTGAATACAGCAATATATAAATAGAATAATATACATCATGACTAAGTGGGCTTTATACCATAAATGCAAGGAAGATCAAAATTTAAAAAAAAAAGGAAAAAAGTACTTAATTACAAATGAGAAAAAAAAACATATCAATTCAACAGATACAGATCTTTAATTTAAAAAAGAAAATCTTAGCAAACTGGAAATGCAAAGAACTTCCTCAATCTAATAAAATAATCTAACTAAAGAAGTTACAGACAGCATTATACTTCATGGTGAAATACTGAATGCCACTCAGATTGCTCACAAGGCATGATGGCTGTTCTCATTATTTCAATTCAACACTTTGCTGAAGGTTCTAGACAGTACAATAAGCAAGAAAAAGAAACATAAGGCACAAAGATTGAAAGGAAACAATCAAAATGTCTTTATTCACAGATGTGACAGTACATAGAAAATACATTCATAGAAAATCCTAAGCAATCTTAAAAAAAGAAAACTAATGACTGATTTTAGCAAGGTCACAGAAAATAAGCTGAATATATAAAAATGAGTTATACATCTATATACTGGCAAAGTTTGAAAAAATAAAATTATAAGCATAATTTACCATAGCATCAAAACACATGCAATATTGGGCAGTTAAGTCAAACAGAAGATGAGCAACATCTCTATTTTGAAACTGTAAAATAAGATCAAGAGAAATTTAAGACCTAAATAGAGAGATATACACATTCACTGAAGAGTATTTAATACTGACAATTCTTCCCAAATTAAAAAGTCAGTGCAATCCTAATCAATATCCCAGAAGGCTTTATAGTAAATACTGAAAAACTAATCTTAAAATTTATATGCAAATGCAAAGGACCTGTTAACAGCCAAAACAATCTTGAAATCTTTAACAAAATTAAAGACTCACAGCATATGAAAAGAGTCTTTCAACAAAGATAACTGGCTATCCATATGCAATTCAAGTTGAAAATTTAGATTTAAACAAATTCTTCAAAAATCAAAATTACCAAAACTCTATATATATGATCTCAACCCCAACTTGACACTATACCAAAAAAAAAAAAAACTAATTTGAGATGGACCATCAACATAAGCTAAAGCCATAAAGCTTCTAAAATGAAATAAAGGAAATTATCTGTGACTTTGGGGCAGGAGATCTCATAAAACAAACTAAAACACTAATACCTCATCAAAAAAATTTATCTCCATAAAGAGGTAGCATTTCAAACCCACTGGAATGGCTAAAATTAAAGACTGATAACACCAATGTTAGCAAAGATACAACGCAACTGCAATTCCTGTAATTTGCTGGTGGGAGTGTAAAATGATGCAATCACTTTGGAAAAGTGTTTGGCAATCTCCTGTAACATTAACCATACATATACATGTTAACCTAGCAATTTCATTATAGGTATCAAGCTAACAGAAATGAAAACATATCTCCATTAAAAAACCTGACAAGAATATCCCTCGCTGCTTTATTCACAATAGCTCAAAGACAGTGAATAACCCAAATGTCCATCAAGAAGTACAGCGGTCTAGACGTCTGTTCATGTGGAATACCAGTCAGCAACAAAACATGAATGAACAACTGATACACGTATCATTGTGAGTTAATGTTAAACACTGCTCTGAATGAAAGTTTTTTTTCATATAAAGTTCTAGAACAGTAAAACCTATCTCAAGTGATACACAGAATAGTAGCTCAAGGAGTGGAAGCGGGGTTAGCAATAAATGACAGAATAGGAAGGAACTTCCAGGAGTGACAGAAATTTGGTGGATTATTTAGGTCTAAGATATACTTGTCAAAAACTCATTGAACTGTACTTAAGATCTATATGCATTTGACTATATGTAAATTATGTCAACAAAATGTTGAAGATAACACAGCAACATTATAGTCAGTCTAGGTAAAGATGGAAACACATCCAATCACAGAAGTCTAGACTGACTTCAAAAAGCAAGCATACCGTAATGCCCCACGGGGTACACAGTTATAGCACAAAGACAAATAGTGATTCTATAGCATCTTACTATGCTGATGGACAGTGACTGTACTGGGGTATGCGGTGGAGAGTTGATAATGGATGGAATCTAGTAACCACAATGTTGCTCATGTAATTGCATATTAATGATACCAAAATAAAAATAATAAAAAATAAAAATAAAATTTTAAATTTAAAAATAAAAATAAAAATAAGCAAGTATACCTGTTCCTTTCGTGATAAAAAATTTATTCATGTACCAAACTCTGAAACTTCTTATAGAGACACTGAGAAATATAGTAGACAGTGTCCTAAGCAAGCTTCACATGAAAAGTAATACATTTGATTTTTTTTAAGAGAAGCAAAATTTAAAGCACACTGTTGAATTATAATTCTGACAAATGGAATTAAGATTTTTGGGTTAATATGAAGTTACTTAAAATAACCTTAGGAATAGCTGCTAAAAATTTGTTTCTGAAATTTATTTTCTCCTCTAAGTCTCTTTAGTTTTTTACATATTTTTAGTACATCTGATAACATTAAGAAGCCTGAGTTATTTTGTAATCTTCCATACTGACTTTAATAGAAATATAGGTTCTAAGCATAAGTATTAATGTGAAACCCCTACAGGTTTCAGAGGGAGCATGGCCCTGCCAAACTTTGAATTCGGACTTCTTCCTCCAGAACTGTGAAGCAACAAATTTTGGTTCTTTTAAGCCACCCAGTTTGTACTATTTTTGTTAAAACATTCCTAGTAAAATAATAAAAATGCATCATTTACCACAGTCCTCCACTACTGCACTATTTTGATCAGTGGCTTAAAACTACCATTTGGAAAAGACTTTTAAATGAATGGACATATTAATCAGATCTCTTTTGACAAAGAAATATCCTATATTTCACTGTGGGAGCAGTGATTTTGGTATTCTTTTCATGTTATTAAAACACTATGAATATGGACATCACTCCAGGCTAGGTGTATACTTGTGGAAAAATTAGAAGATTCAGGAGATTGAAATGTTTATCATATACAAGTACACAAAAACTGAATAAAATTTTTATTTTAAAACATCACAAATAATTATGAAGATAAGTGTCTCAACTGCACAAACTGTTATATATGTGTGTATATATATATACACATATGTATATATATGTAGACACACACACACACACACACATGAATATTTAAACTTTGCTTCATCTTTCATCTTTTTATCTGAGTAAAAAGAAGAACACTTTCCTCATTCAGGAGATTTTTGATGTTGTAATAATTACCTGGAAGTAAAGTGATAAGAAAAAAAAATTATTTCCACAGGAATAACTTCCTTTCGATTAAATGTTTAGCCATCATTAAGAAAGTTACAGCACATGATACCAAATAAAAAAATAAAAAAGAAATTCACCTAACCCAAAGTAACTCTTACTTAACTCCATGAATTAAAAAATCTAAGCTAACCACACCTGTGATCCAGATAAGGCTTTAAGGAATGTAAATTTCACCTCACTCCTATAATGAATGCAAAGATTAATCAGACAGAAGTGCAGAAATTTCTCTAACCCAAATAGTTAGTAGGTCTTTGGAATTGCTCTGGATTCCTCTAAACCAGACAAATGCATATAGGGCAAGTATAAGAGGCAAAATGTCAGGTAAAATAAAATCTCAAAGTTAAAACAAGGCAAATGCTACTCTTAAAATTAATTAGGCAATAAATAACAGCAAAAGTGAAAAACAGGTGGAAAGCCATACAGAAGGCAGATTTACAGCCTTAAGCACCATAATGTGACCTCTACATATTAGAAATTGACACATATTGAGTTAATAAATATAGTGTTTACAACAGCACTGGTACATACAAAGGACTGTCTAAACATAACTACTGATTATTGTCTCCTTCCATTAGAAAGTAAACTCCATGAGAGCACAGATTTTTGCCTGTTTTGTTCATTTATGTATCCCACACTCTTAGAGGAATGCTTAGTAGATTCTCAGTCACATTTATTGACTGCATTAATGAATGAACAATTTAAAATTCCTATTTTTGAAGATTTGTGCTCTTCAACAGCTGATGAAGCACACTATTCTGTATTTTTGAAATAACCTACTAAAAACTGTTCAACTACATGTCTTAGAGATGACACAGGGTGAATAATTTTCCTTCTACCTTGAGTAAAACATATCTTCAAACTAAAATATTCTCATATTCAGGAATAAACAACTCTTGGCCAATTTTCATATATCAGTACACTGTTATACTTACCTAATGATAAAATTAAAGGAAATTATGTACACAACTTCTTTGGCATTAGTCATATCACACTTCATTTCAATCACTGTGGCTTCTATTCTCTTTGTACTCATGAGTAACTATGTAAATATTTAACTATGTGAGAAGAAATTTCTTTAATTATTCTTACCTGAAGGAATATAGAATGAATCCCCAGTTGTTATTATATATGATGTTTCATGTAAGGTACATAAAAGGTCACCAAAGTCAACATAAAAAACCTGTAGAATTAAAAATTAAAATCTCATTTCAAATTGAACCACGACAACAACTACACCCCAAAGAAACTTGATGTAGTAGGCAGAATGACGATCCTCCAAACATGGTCACGCTCTAATCTCCAGACCTTACTGTTACATAGCAAAAGGGACCTTGAGATGGGGAGATTTCCTAGGTTATATAGGTGGGTCCAATCTAATCACATGAGCCCTTAAAAGTGGAGTATTTATCTACTGGAAGCAAAGGAGAAATGAAGCAAAGACAAAGAAATTCTAAGCATATGAAGGACTTGTGCTTATTGCTGGCACTGAAGATAACAGGCCGTTGGTCAAGGAATGTGGGCTATTTCTAGAAGCTAAGAATACCACACTGGCCAATAGCCAGCAAGGAAACAGTCCTACAGCCACATGGAACTGAATTCTTCCAACAACCTGAACGAACTCGAAAGCAGATTCATCCTAGGAGCCTCCAGAGGAATACCAAGCTCCCAAAATCATGATTCTAGCCTTGTGATACTCTAAACAGAATATTTAAAGCCAACCCACCAGACTTCTAACCTACATAACTGTAAGATAATAAATGGATGTTGTCTTAAATCACTAAGTGTGTGGCAATTTGTTAAAATAGCAATAGGAAACTTAATAAAGAAAGAAATTTCTTTCATTCTTCCTTTTATTTACCAGCTTATGAAAACTCAGAACCACTGTAAAGAATATCACTTAGCTTTACTAGAAAAAAAACTAGGCCATATGTATACTTCTTTAAAAGTTACATGCTTGGAACATGGCATGTAAGTTAATCTGACTGTTTAGTCAAAGAGAGAACAAGAAGAAAAAACAAAACAAAAAAAATCATTCATCTAAATAAGCATCAACATTAAGAAAGCAAAAGGATGTATCTCTCAGTCACACAAGCTTACATATTCCAACACAGAAAATTTTACATTTTGTATATAACTAGCACTTTGGCAATAATGTTTTTTGAGCAACTAAATAGAAAATGTAAGGTCTCTAAACTTTGAGATACAAATTTCGAGATTCAGCCATCAGAAATATTTTGCCTCAGAGAATTATTCCTCTTCCCTCTCCTCCTTCCTTTTCCTTTCTTACCATCTTATAAAATGGGCCTAAAACACCAAAAAACAATAGCAGTTAGCACTTACCACTTGCTCTGTGTGTCCTGAGTATTTTATTTTTATTCATTTAATGTATGTACCTACCAGTTGAGCAGGTACTATTCTTAATAGCTTTTTCACAGATGAAAAGAAGGTACAGAGGGGTGTGACTTTCCAAGGTCACAATGTAAATGCCATAACTGGGATTTGAACTCAAGCACTTTGATTCCAGAACTCATATTCTTAACCTGTATAATACACTAACTCCTTAAATGGGAAAAAAGCTCTGGCAGTGATTCTAAAGGTAATTTATAATTTAATAAAACAAAAAAAATTTATTACATCCCCCAAAATATTTGCCTCAGTTGACAAAAATAGTAACACACATACTACACAGAAAATCAAGCATATATTTCTAAGTGTTTTTTCCTTATCTACTCAGTTTGGCTTTCTAAGCACACCTCTTCCCATTTTTTTGCAAACATTGTACTATGAAAACTTTTAAAATACACAAAGATACAATGAGAAACTCCCATTAATATCTATTAACCATCTGCCCTATTCAGAGTCGCTCTACTTCCCCCATTCCATATTATTTTGCAACAAATGCTCATAAATCATCTGTAAATATTTCAGTGTGCATAGAAAGATCAAGGTGCTTTTCAAAAACATGACCACAACTGTATTACCACATCTAAAAATAAATGAACATTTAATATCAAATACCCAGTCAGTATTCAAATTTCCAATTGTCTCTTAAATGTCATATTTTTAAGGGTTTACTTAAGAATAAGAGCCACACTGTGACTGACTGCTTACATATTTCTTAAATCATTCAGTCTATAGTGGTTCTCAATTTGGGGGTGATTTTGTCCCTCAGGGGACAAATGGCAAGTCTGGGACACTTATTCTCATGACTAGAGGGATGGATACTACTGGAATCTAGTGGGTAAAACTCAGGGATGACTCTATCTTTCAATGCACAGATAGCCACCCTATAACAAAGAATTATCCATTCCAAAATGTCAGTAGTGCCACGGTTGAAAATCCCTGAATAGGTTCCTACCTGGTTCTCTTGTTTTATCACTTGCAGCCTATTTATTAAAGAAACTAAGCAGCAAAATTTGCTGTAAAAATTTTCCACAGCTGGATTTTGCTGATTACAACCCCAAGGAATCATTTGAAAGTCCACAGTTCTTTATTTATTGCAAACTGGGAATTAGATCTAGAGACTTGATCAAATTCAAGTGTTTCTTTGTTTTGCTTTGTTTTGTTTTTTTTTTAATAAGGTTGGGGAGGCAAGACTGCTTGAGTGTTGTATTCTTCCATCAGGAGGCAAATTGTATAGTTCTTTTTACATGTTGAGACACCAATGTTCAATGCCTAGTTCCAATAGTTTATCAGGAGCTACAAAATTAGTAATATATCATTCTAACATTACTTATTCATTTATTAACTGGGATATTTTTAACAATGACTAACTTCCCCATATCGATTATTTGTTTACTTAATAATACAGTTTATATGAGAAAGGCAGAATAAATGTTCATTTCCTTTTATTTACCATATTTGTTGTAGTATAATTCGCTTCCTAGAATTCTCCAACAGTAATGAATTAGTTTTCCTTTTTGTATAGTCTTACAAATTCATGGATTTAGATAATGTGGTTGATCTACTGGTTATTCTTATTGATAACTTAAGTTTTCACATCTTTGTCCCATTAGAGCATCTTCAAGTTGGATCTCTGTGACCCAATCCTAATGGTCTTTGATAGGTTGTTATCAGGTCTGATAAAAATATTCCAAGCTTAACCCCAAGACTGAATTCAGGTATTTCTCTGAGGAACTCTGCTTCCTTTAATGTTGGTGCCACTTTTTTTGTTGCTGGTTTTTTTTTTTTTTAGTTCTGGATTGTTTATTGAGTAATTTTTCAAATACTGCCACCACTTGCTAGTTTGGTTTTTTTTTTCCCCTCTTCTCCTGTTTTTCCTGCTCTTCACATCACTTCACTTTTATATTTTGCATTTCCTGCCTTGTTGTTCTCTGGGAAATCTCCACAACCAACTCCCATAGTCAGTTAATTCTTCTGTGGTCTGATTTTAACAAATCTACAACTGCCAGTACTACTATTCTTACACAGATTTTATAACACTGAGTTTGAAGGGAAGAGTTTATGGACTTTGCTGGTTTTCCATCTTCTCCCTTTTGTTTGTTTCTCATAAGCAGATGTTTATAAAAAAAAATACTCCCCTTGTTATTTAAAAAATACTTCATCTGATTTTCATTATAAAAAGTTAGAAGCAATATTTAGAATAAAAATCAACTACAAATCACCTTGTTCTTTTTCTACAGTTCCTTCAATTTTAGTTTTTATATTCTAGTCAAAAAATAAAATTTTCTGTCTTGTAGTTTCCTTAAATGTTTATCCTAAAGGTCTACTTATATGGTTATTCTTCAAAATAATATGCTTAAAATAATAGAAAAATGCTGAGTATAGTACCTAGAACATGTAAGTGCTATTTAACTGCTTATGTCATGTAATGGCTTATCTCACTACTAAGTCAAAATATAACCATTTTCTTCAGGCAGCACATTTCAGTGGTTTCTAATTTTTGCAAGTACTATCAATGCTATAATAAATAAATACATATGTTCAGCTTCCCTAACTTCCAAATTATGTTCCTTAACTCTGAATTTAGTCATAAAAAGGGTACAAATAGTTTTCCAATAATTTCTACTAACTCAGTAATTTAAAAACATCCTTTGTTTTTAATGTGGATTCCTTTGATTCACCAGGTTAAACACTTTCTAATATTTACTATTCAAATTTCCTTTTGTATAATAAAAGCATTACAGTTTAATGGTAACTGCTATTAGTTTAATGGTGACATTTCATAATATTTACCTTAATTTTTAACTGTTCCTTAATGATTACACAGGGATTATCTATTACTTTAGTTAGTTAAGTTTCTTACTTTACTTGTTTAATAACACCTGGAGATCTCTAACATTTCAAGATTGGATTAAAAAATATTTTAAAATATTTTAAATCCAGATTATATTTATACTAATGTAGTAATAAATTACACTTTGACTTTCATGTGTACCTTTTCCTTTGCTTGCCTCAACTTTACCTTTCTTTGTTAATATGAATGCTTTTTGTTTTTGTGAGCTTATTTCAATTTTGTCACTTGAAAGTTTTGTCTTGAATTTGATATTCCAGTAACCTAGGATTTCATAGGTTCCTGAAAGTTACTTAATGATAAATGTGCCTTAGATATAATATTTTTTAAATGCTGGCATAATATTAAATTTTCTTAAAATCTGGTGATTTTCAAATTCTGTTATTTTCAGTTTCAAAATACAGAAATATGCATACACACACACATATTATCAAACCAACGTTGCAGGGGGTGTGTCTCCATGACAAACACCCCATATGAGCACAAACACACACAGCATGAGGCAGCAAGAGTGCAAGAGAGGGACCAAGGGAGGGAGAAACTGACTTACCTTGAATCTCATAACTTTAAGAGCCAGTAATACTGCTATATACAGTAAAATATTATTTAGTATTTATTAAAACAAACTAGCATCCTAAACCACTGCTAATTGTTACATAATTGTGAAGAAGGCTTTTAACCTATTTATTACTAAACTACAGAGAAATGAAATTTAGACTTAATCTCAATAATCCCCTCCAGCTCTGAAATTCTAATGATTTGTTTGCAAACCCATATTCTAAGATTCTAAGTAAAGATCATTCTTTAAGCTGAATCTCAAAGTTACACTGCTTTGCACAGAACAGGTACTTTTAACTAACCATTTGTTAACTGACTCTGAACAGTTACAACAAAAAATTACCTGTGCTATATAGTAGTAAGATAACATTTCTAAGGAAATTGCAATTTTAATGCCTCATCAAATCCAGTAAATCAGAGTTATACCAAATAGCAAAACATAAATATAAAGAAAAATACACTCACCAATGTATCTAGGCCAACATGCTGCTTTCCTTTTTCTTGATGTGGTCCTAATACCAATTTTCCAGTAGAAAAAAAGGGTGTATCCAGTGTTTTATATACTTTCAAATCACCATGCTCAACAAAAAATTGATATGTATCTCGTGGCCTTATAAGATCTAAGGGAAAAATATTAAAATGAATATAAAACAATATAAATGATATGTGTGTAATATATATACACACATGCATATACAATAGAGTTATTTACAGATATAAACCTGCCTTAGAAAGACAGAAGTGACTAAGATCAATGACTCTGAAGGTAGACTGCCACAGGTCAAAAACTGTCTCTGTCTTAAAACTGTGTGACCTTAGGCAAGTGACTCATCCTCTCTATGCTTCCATTTCCTTTTCTATGAAATAGGATAGTAATAGTTCATCTCCATTGCTGTTGTGAGTATCAAATGAGTTAATGTGTGTAAAGTACTTAAAACACTACCTACCACAAAGTAAGCACAGGTAAATCTTAGCGGTTAACAATAATGGCACTATTAATATTTCTATTATAGCTCAGACAGAAAACAAACTGGCAAAAACACAAGATTTTCCCACCTGTAAAAAGTTTAACATACAAAGGTACCATCATCAAGCCAACTGATTCTTTTGTACTTGACTGTTTATTAAACAACATTTTTATTTACCAGGCTCTAAGTAACCAGAATTCTAACTATTGCTCCCAAATTACTATGTTACTTTTGAATTTCCCTTTTATTTACAAACATTTAAATATTTATAATTAACACATTCTTTTATCATCAGCTTCTGGATGTGTCCTCAATATTTGGTAATGTTAGTTAACCCCACAGACTACAGGATACAGAAAATGTGTAGACTTAAGAACAGACAAAAAATTGAATTCCTGATAAGACAACTTTTGTAACCTGGTACAGTATAGCAATGTTTGTAGCTAAGACATTATATTCAGTTCTCTGTATTTCTACTTGCTGCCAAATAAACAATCTGAATACAGAAATAACTTTGCTATTTATGATGTCAAATGGAACCTGTTTCACAGCCAAAGTTTTAAGTGGGACTATCATTACTGCTTCCTGATTTAACCTATTTGTCATCTGATTTAGGATAAATAGTCCTCAGTACTCACTGATAGTTTTAACAGTTGATAAAACATTTGCCTAGTAAATGCAGCAGGCGGCTTCTATGACTCTGTGATGGCCTTAAGGTTAAGCCTGACATTTGTTTGGCTGTTTGATACCTTCTCTAGTCATCTCCCTAAAGGTCTTATGTCCCAAGTACTATAATTGGCATCCGATAGCCCAGAAGGCTATCTAAATCCTGCCCACACTCCCTGCCTGGTCTCACAGTAAAAGTATATCCTGAAGTCTGCTAGCTAACATACAACAATTCCCCATAAACAATCCCTGTCCCCATGCATCTTCTTGGTCAAAAAAGGTCTGGACCTCAATGGGGGAGACAACACTAATGATGGTAGCACCTGTATCCCAAAGGACAAAAGCATTGTGCTATATGTCCCTGGAGGTTGTTTGCCATCAGTGCTCCCAGACAGTAGTCCTCACATAGGCTGCTTATTGAAATTAGATCCTCTACTGGACTTTGGCTCTGAAAGAGTTGGGGAGAGAAAGGAAAAGTAGAGAGGCCAGTCATCAACCAGCAGTTTGTCCTTACTAGTTGTTAAATTAAACATTTTCAATATCATCCCTGATCTTACCCATGAGAATAATCTCTCTTGTGTCTGGGTCCTTTACCCTCGTTGGCTTCAAAGGATCTCCTAGAGGTACATTCAGATTTACCACTAATTTATTCTCTGCAAAAGATATGTCATTGAAATATAAACTACTTACTTCAAATTCTTTTCAATTAAAAAATAATCTAGTAAGAAATACAGCTATAGACAAGTTATAGAGGAAAACTGCCAGAGGCATAACAATCTTTTCCTATTTATAAATAACCACCTTGGTAAACAAAAATTCTAAAATCACAATGATTTAATATAGAAACAAATATCCTAAACTATTTGTTTTCTACAAGCCTATTAAAACAACTCTTGAACTTTTTTCATGATCAAGTTAAACAATGTTTTTGCATATTTTCTAAGATAGCTAGAAGTATGCAATACATTCTAGAAAAAATTTCATTAAATTGTGTATTTAACCATAGTTTGGACATGGGAAAGGTAAGCTTCACATGACATAGCAATTTACTTCTAAGAAAGTGTTTTATATTATGCTATTATTGTTTTATTAAGGTATTATTGATATACAATCACATGAGCAAGACTGTGGCTAGTAGATTCCCATTATCAAGTCCCCACCACATACCCCATTATAGTCACTGTCCACCAGCACAGTAAGATGCTAGAGTCACTACTTGTCTTCTCTGTGCTATACTTCCTTCTCCGTGCCCCCACTACATTATGTGTGGTAATCATAATGCCCCTTAATCCCCTTATGCCTCCCTTCCCACTCATCCTCCCCAGTCCCTTTCCCTTTGGTAACTGTTAGTCCATTCTTGGGTTCTCTGTGTCTGCTGCTGTTTTGTTCCTTCAGTTTTTGCTTTGTTGTTATACTCTACAGATGAGTGAATATTATGCTATTATTTTTAATTTAAAGAGTAAGTTTACTTTCAAAATTTGGAAAAATTTGGACATAAATAGTGAATATACCCTAAAATACCAAATCTGAAGTTTTTAGAGGTAAATTTACAAAGAGCTACTTTTCAAAACAGTTAGTTTAAATAAAATCTAAAAGTTATTTTTAAGAAAAAGCTCATACTTCTTTGATCATTATCAAGACAGATCCTTTTCCTATGAACAACTTTGTTGACTTTTCCCATGTTTTCTTTTGCCTTTCTTTTAGATGATACTGTGTCTGGGGACAGTATTCCACCAATCACAAATCCTCCTGAAATTAAATAACAAAAAAGGTAAAATATCATACCTTGGGCAGTGAAATCTTGAAATAAAACCAATTAAATTAATACAGCACATTTCCTTTTCAAGTACCAAAGAATACATTATTATTACTACATTCTACAGATAGTAATTCAAATAACACAAATATTAACCAATTTTATTCATTATGTCTCTATTATCCTAAATCTAGAAGCACTGGTAAAACATGATTGACTTAATTCTGTTGCTTGAAATCCAGTCATCAGGGGCAGTTTAAAAAAACAAAAGAAGCCAAAGGCCAGCAATGAACTACTTATAGTAATCCACATACAGTACTGAGTCCTTTAACTCAGATTAGTTATAAAAGGAAAAAAGTAACTTTAAGATAACATTATACTTTCCAGCCCACCCTGTACCATTACAAAAGAAAAATACAAAAAGAAAATGGGATGGGAATAATGGAGAATACATAATCTTTGCCAGTTAAAATTTTCTCATGTTTGGATCTAATGCTTCATTTTATAAACTTACAAATCTCGTTCAATAGTATAAAAATAATATTTTATAAAGCTGCATAATCACCTCAAATTGCTACCAAAGTGGGAAAAAAAATCAGCAACTGGATAGTAATTAGACAAATCTATATCTTAATCTATTCTTCTAATTTTGAGGGGATGAAGATTAAATGAGGTAATGTGTATAAATATGTAGGACAGGGCATGGCACATAATATATATAAAAACAAACTGTAGCAATCCTAGTTACTATTTTTTATTGTCAGACATTAAAATGTAAGTTGGAATTTACCTGATGGCCTTCCTTGATAATCTATTCGCTCCCCTCGCCAGTATTCCAAAGGTTTCAACCTTATTCTCTTGGTTCTGCGAACATTTGGTGTGTTGGAGGGCAATACTGTAAAAAGATGTTAGACAATTACTTGCATGATAATCTGCAGTGTAAAGATTGATATTACCTTCTAGAACAGTAATGATTCTAGACAAAACAGTAGGAAAACAAAAATTTATGATATATTTGTGCTAATAATTTAAAAAATGCCAATGAAAAAACAGGTTACTAGGTTGGCAAAGATTTAAAAACTTGGTTAATACCCATGGTTAATGATGTTAAAGACAGAAACTCTCATATACTATAGGTAGAAATATAAACTGATTGAAGACAATTGATAATATTTCTAATAACTTGATTTAGAGATTTCATTTCTGGACAATGACTTTACAAAATCTTCACAAAGATGGGGAAAACTATAGGTATAGGTACAAAAACATTCATGGTAGTACTATTTATAATAGTACTATTTGGTAGTACAAATTATAATAGAAATGGAAAACATGGTAGTACTATTTATAATAGAAATGGAAAACAAAACAAAATTAAAAACCATCTCAATGCTATATATATATATATAACAAACTTGTAAATTGGGGGTTGTTATGAAAGAATATGTTTGTGTGTGTACACACACAGCCACCCATTTAATCTAAACAATGTAAAATTATAAAAACTAAGTTGAGTATTTTTGGCTATATAATCAAATTTCTATATTCGGATTTATTTATTTACAAAAGCTGTCTATTCTGAAAGTGGTTTACTAGAATCTCCCAGTCTAACTGTATTGTTTAAATGAAAATCTTCTTGCTTTTCCTCAGTTTTTTTCATATTTCATAATACTAATTTCAGTGGCACGGTTGTTTGGCACAGTGTTTATGATTCTATATTCTTCATAAATTTTTCATTTTATCATTGTATGTACTTCTTTATCCTATTCAGCACTTTAATTTTAACCTTAAGTTCCACACAGCCTAATGTGAAAACTGCCCTATTTTCTTTTGGTTTACATTGGCCTACCTAATTCTTTAACAACCTTTCATTTCAAAACTTAAGTGTTTCTTATAAACATATTAGTTGATTTATATTGCTAGCCAAATTGACCGTTTTTACCCTAATATGGAAATTCAATACATTCACTGTTAGTTTAACAAGTAACATGATTCCTTTTATTCTTTCCATCTTACTTTATATTTAATAGTTATTCTTACATTAGTAGTTCTTCTTTCTCCTCATTTTTACTGGTTTGATCAAATGACCTTTTCTCCCCACCACTCCCTTGGTCATTTCAAAGTTTTGCTGTTTTTCACACTAATATTAGTTATCTTCACATTCTGACACTCAAAAATCAAATTCCTTGTTATTCAGGATTTAATCAAAAATAAAATCCCTGACTAAAATACGCTATCATCTCCTTTTCTCATTCAGTAAAACTAAAACCTTTAGACTACTCTTCTGCCCCCATATTTGTTCCCACCATAGCAGGTTTTTAAAGGTAATCTACATGATCAGGTATTACAAAAATCCTTACTTAGCACTTAAAAATCCCTAATCGCATTGCCATTAAATAGTAGATATACCTAAGGTAATCAGCAATGTGGACCCTGTGACTTAATTTGCATCAAAAATCACTTCTATGGTTATAGCACAATTGTTATACATACATACATCTATATATTTGTATATAATGAGGAAAGAGCATTTCCTCACAGAGGGCAGTGGCACCACATGCCTGTGACCCTGCCATCGCTACAGGTGTTGGGCAGTTAAGAGTGTAGTAGAGCTTCTGGGCACTAGACGGTGTGGCATACACAAAGCTATTATTCCATAGTAATTATTCCAAATGAAAAACAGCAAACAAATTTTACACAAAAAAAAGACCCCAAAAACACGAGACAGAAGGCTCGTGAACAGAAATCAACAATCTTCTTGATAAAGATTTCAAAATGAAAATCATAAACATGCTCACAGAGCTACAGAAAAATATTCAAGATCTCAGGAGGACTTCAAAAAAGACATAGAAACTATGAAAAATATGGTATTTGAAATGAAACATACAGTGGAGGAATTTAAAAGTAGATTAGATGAGGTAGAGGAGATAGTAAATGAAATAGAAATTAGAGAACAGGAATACAAAGAAGCTGAGGCACAGAGAGAGAAAAGAATCTCTAGGAATGAAAGAGTAGTAAGAGAACCATGCAACCAATCCAAATGGAACAATATTTGCATTATAGGAGCCCCAGAAGAAGGAGAGAGAGAAACATGGATGGAAAGTCTCTCTGAGGAAATAATGGCTAAAAACTTCCCCAATCTGGGGAAGGAAATAGTCAATCAGGCCATGGAAGTGCAGAGCTCTCCAAATACAAGGGACCCTAGGAAGACAATACCAAGACATATAATAATTAAAATGGCAAAGGTCAAGGGCAAGGAGAGTATTGAAAGCAGCCAGAGAGAGAGAGAAAAGACCACTTAAAAAAGGAAAGCCCATCAGCTATCATGAGACTTCTCAGCAGAAACCTTAACAGGCCAGAAGGGAGTGGCATGATATATTTAATGCAATGAAACAGAAGGGCCTCCCACCAAGAATACTTTACATAGCAAGATTATCCTTTAGATTTGAGGAAGGGATTAAAACAATTTACAGATAAACACATGTTGAAGGAATTCACCTCCCATAACCAGTCTCCACAGTGTATATTAAAGAGTCTGCTCTAGATGCAAGTGCTCCTTAGACTAAACAGCAGTCATCAGATAAAATAAAACAACAGTAAAGGAAGTAGACCAATTAATTACTAAGCAAATCCAAAATTAAATAAACTACTCACAAAGTCAGGCAAAGGATAAACAGAGAATACAGAATATGACAAGTAAGATAAAAAGAGTAGAGGAGGGGGAGAAGATGAAAAAAAGAACCTTTAGACAGTGCTCAAAATAGCATAATAAGTGAGTTAAGACAGACTATTTGTAAGGAAGCTGCCCTTGAAACTTTGGTAACAACAAATCTAAAACCTACAATGGCAATAAGTACGTATCTTATTGGTAACCACCCTAAGTGTAAATGGACTGAATGCACCAAACAAAAAACATAGAGGTAAAAAATGGATCAAAAAAACAAGACCCATTTATATACTGCCTACAAGAGACTCACTTCAAACCCAAAGACATACACGGACTAAAAGTGAAGGGATGGAAAGCAGTATTTCATGCAAATAATAGGGAGAAAAAGGCAGGAATTGCATTACTTGTATCAAACAAAACACAGTGACAAAAGGCAAAGGAGGACATTACATAATGATAAAGGGGTCAGTCCAACAAGAGGATATAACCATTATAAATATCTATGCACCTAACACAGGAGCACCTACATATATGAAACAAATACTAACAGAATTTAAGGGGGAAATAGAAAGGCAGTGCACTCATTTTAAGAGACTTCAACACACCACTCACTCTAAAGGACAATCAACCAGAGAGAAAATAAGTAAGAAGACAGAGGCACTGGACAACACATTAGAACAGATAGACCTAATAGATATTTACAAAACATTCCACCCAAAAGCAGCAGGATACACATTCTTCTCGAGTGCACATGGAACATTTTCCAGAAGAGATCACATATCAGGCCACAAAAAGAGCCTCAGTAGATTCAGAAGGATGGAAATTGTGCCAACCAGTTTCCTAGACCACAAAGGTATGAAACTAGAAATAGATTGTGCTAAGAAAATAAAAAATCCCACAAACACATGGAGGCTTAACAACAAGCTCCTAAATAATCAATGGATCAATAATCAAATAAAAACAGATATCAAGCAATATATAGAGAGAAATTAAAACAACTCAACACCCCAAAACCTCTGGGTTGCAGCGAATGAAGTTCTAAAAATTAAGTTTATTGCAATACAGGCTAATGTCAAAAAAGAACAATATAAAATCATAATTAATGAAACTGGAAAAAGAAGAACAAATGAAGCCAAAAGTCAGTAGAAGGAGGAACATAGTAAATATTGGAGCACAAATAAATAAAATTGAGAAGAATAAAACAACAGAAAGATTCAATGAAACCAGGAGCTGGTTCTTTGAGAATATAAACAAAATAGACAAACACCTACCCAGACTTATCAGGAAAAAAAGAGAATGTACACACAAAAACAGAATCAGAAACAAGAAAGGAAAAATACTATGGACACCACAGAAATACAGAGAGTTATTAGAGAATATTATGAATAATTACATGCTAACAAATTGGGTAATCTGGAAGAAATTGATCACTTTCTAGGAAAATACAACCTTCCACCCAGAAAGAAACAGAAAATCTGACAAACCAACTACCATCAATGAAATTGAACTGGTAATAAAAAACTCCCTAAGAATAAAACTTCTGGACCAGGTGAAACACTGAATTTTATCAAACGTTTGGAGACGACCTAATACCCATCCTCCTTAAAGTTTTCCAAAAAGTAGAAGAGGAGGGATTACTTCCAAACTCATTGTATGAGGCCAGCATCACTTTAATACCAAAACCAGGCAAAGACTACAAAAATACAAAATTATAAACCAATATCCCTGATGAACATAGATGCAAAAACTCTCAATAAAATATTAGCAAACCGAATCAAAAATACATTAAAAAGATCATTCATCATGACCTAGTGGGACTTATTCCAGGGATGGAAGGATTGTACAACATTAAAAAATCCATCAACATCATACAACCACATCAACAAAAAGGACATAAACCACGTGCTCATCTCCATAGATGCTGAAAAAGCATTCAACAAAATTTAACGTCCATTCATGATAAAAACTCAACAAAATGGGTATAGAGGGCAAGTACCTGAACATAATAAAGGCCATATACAACAAACCCACAGCCAACATCATACTTAACTGCAAAAAGCTGAAAGCTTTTCCTCTAAGACTGGGCACAAGATATGGATGCCCACTCTTCCCACTTTTATTCAACAGAGTACTGGAGATTCTAGCCACAGCAATCTGACAATACAAAGAGATAGAAGGCATCCAGACTGGTGAGGAAGTTTAACTGTCATTGTTTACAGATGACATGATATTGTACGTTAAAAATCCTAAAGAATCCTACTGAATTCAGCAAAGTTGCAGGATACAAAATTAATACACAGAAATCTGCTACATTCCTATATACTAACAACAAACTAGCAGAAAGAGAAATCAGGAAATCAATTCCATTTACAATTGCATTGAAAAGAATAGAATACCTAGTAATAAACCTAACCAATGAGGTGAAAGACCTACAACCTGAAAACTACAAGACTCTCAGGAGAGAAATTAAATAAAACATCAATAAATGGAAATACATCTTGTGCTTATGGATAGGAAGAATTAATATTGTCAAAATGGCCATCCTGCCTAAAGCAATATACAGATTCAATGCAATCCCTATCAAAATACCAACAGCATTCTTCAACGAACTAGAACAAATAGTTCTAAATTTCATATGGAACCATTAAAGACCCCGAATAGCCAAAGCAATCCTGAGAAGGAAGAATAAAGCTGGAGGGATTATGCTCCCTAACTTCAAGCTCTACTACCAAGCCACAGTAATCAAAATAATTTGGTACTGGCACAAGAACAGATTAGTGACACCTGGTATAAACCCAGGCTTATACGGCCAATTAATGTATAATAAGGGATTCATACATATAAAATGGGGAAATGAAAGCCTCTTCAACAACTCGTGTTGGCCAAAGTGGACAGCTACATACAAGAGAATGAAACTGGATTATTGTCTAACTCCATATATAAAAGTAAACTCGAAATGGATCAAAGACCTGAGTATAAGTCATGACACCATAAAACTCTTAGAAGAAAGCATAAGCAAAAATCTCTTGGATATATAAACATGAGCAACTTTCTCCTGAACAGATCTCTTTGGGCAAGGGAAACAAAAGCATAAATGAACAAATGGGACTACATTAAACTAAAAAGCTTCTGTACAGCAAAGGACATCATCAGCAGAACAAAAGGCATCCTACAGTATGAGAGAATATATTTGTAAATGACCTATCCGATAACTAGATAACTTCAAAAATATATAGAGCTCACATGCCTCAACACCCCAAAAATAAATAACCAGATTAAAAAATGAGTGGAGGATATGAACAGACACTTCTCCAAGGAAGAAATTCAGATGGTCAATAGGCACATGAAAAGATGCTCCACATCGCTAATTATCAGGGAAATTAAAACCACAATGAAGTATCACCTCACACCAGTCAGGACAGCCAACATCCAAAAGACAAGGAACAACAAATGCTGGTGAGGATGTGGAGAAAGGGGAAGCCTCTACACTGTGGTGGGAATGTAAGCTAGTTCAACCATTGTGGAAAGCAATATGGAGGTTCCTCAAAAATCTAAACATAGAAATACTATCTGACCCAGTAATTCCACTCATAGGAATTTACCCAAAGAAAACAAGATTCCTGATTCAAAAAGACATATGCACCCCTTGTTTATTGCAGCACCATTTACAATTGCCAAAATATGGATGCAACCTAACTGTGCATCAGTAGATGCATGAATAAAGAGGTGGTACATATACATAATGGAATATTTCAGCCATAAGAAGAAAACAAATCCTACCATTTGCAACAACATGGATGGAGCTAGTGGGTATTATGGTCAGTAAAATAAGCTGGCGGAGAAAGACAAGTACCAAATAATTTCACTCATTTGTGGAGTATAACAACAAATGAACACTGAAGGGACACAACAGCAGGCAACTCACAGACTCAAAGAAGGGACTAGCAGTTACAAAAGAGAAAGGTTTGTAAGATTGCATGGGGAAAAAGGTAGATGACGATTAAGGGGCACTATGAATTAGCACACATAATGTAGGTGGGTCACAGGGAAGGCAGTACAGCATGGAGAAGACAAGCAGTGACTCTATAGCATCTTACTACGTTGATGCACAGTGACTGTAATGGGGTGTTGGGCAGCAGGGCGATTTGATAACACGGGTGAATGTTGTAACCACAATGTTGCTATTGTGAAACCTTCATAAGATTATATATCAATGATACCTTAATAAAAGTAAATAAATATGTATTGTCTAAGATACTAAATTTGTGGTGATTTGGCACACAATAGAAAACAAATACATATTTAAATTTAAACACATGTATTGAAAGAATCATTCCTCACCACTATTTCCTCTCTTTGGATTCAGTTCTGGTTTATATGATACTTGGTTAGAATACATCACAAAATTATTTTACATGGAGGGTACTAAAATCAATGTTGCATTATCTGCAAAATAAATTCATTCATAATAAAGTAAGGTATCTTGGCTAGGAATAAGATAATTGGATTGTCAGACATTTCTGAAAGTAGGCTATAGAAGTTATTTTATTCCTTCAGCATTACACAGATGGGAGTATTAGTCATTTTTTTCCCCTTTGTATGTAACTTTTTCTTTCTATCTGGAAGCTTTACTCTATCACTGAAACTTAGGAATTTTATTCCCTTATATCTAGAGTTATTTATCTTTTCAGTAATTCCGATTACCAGTTAGTAAACTTATTCAAACTGCAGAGTCAAGGAATCCGGGAAGTATTAACTACTTTTTTTTGTTTTCTCTCCTCCATCTGGCTCTTTTTTTGTTATTTATATGTTTTGTCTGCTGTCTTCATGCTAGTTCTAGTGCATATCTTTTTACCTCATGGTTTACATCTTTTTATATTTCTGCTCTAAAGAACTTCTTCCACATCAATACCAGCGATTAATTCAGCTCTCAAAAGTGACTACCTTTACTTCCATTTCATCTACTAACTTTTTAAACTAAATAGTTATGATTTTTTACTACCATATTGAATCTATGAAAGTTCTTACATTCCCTTTTTTGTTAAGATTGCTATCTATCTACTACAAAAGTTCTAGCTCACCAGAAAGTAGAACCTATTGGTGTTAGGCATGATTCTTGATATTCTTCTCTCTGGTTGCTGGAGCCCCTGTTGAAAGACATTTTTATTTCTCTTTGCCTATGCCTGACTCTAGTCATCATTCCACTCTAAAATAAGCACTAAGCACTGAGAAGTATAGCAGTCTCTCTTCACATGGGCCTACAAAAGTAATAACTGATATGTAAGTTTTGGGTTCAAGCAGTTAGAGAAAGCTTCACTCCTAATGGCTCTCTTCTTGTACAAAAGTAGAAATACTCACAGCCTCAAGTATAGGGAGAAATATAAAAAGCCATACCAATCCCACAAAGGAATTTTAACTGCCAAACAACTTCTCAGGAACCATGAAATTTTAATCCTAAAATGGGCCTCTCCATGGGTTCCCCAGTTCCGGCTCTGCCTACTTACCTATCCTAGGCACTGCTTTGTTTAGGAGTGAACTGGATAAGAATGGTAGAAGTTGTGAGGGATGCCATCTACCTAGCAGTTTTATATATATATATATATATATATATATATTTATTAAGGTGTGATTGATATACACTCTTATTAAGGTTTCACATGAAAAAACAATGTGGTTACTACATTTACCCATATTATCAAGTCTCCCCCCATACCCCAATGTAGTCAACTGTCCATAAGTGTAGTAAGATGCCACAGATCCACTATGTGCCTTCTCTGTGCTACACTGTTCTCCCCGTGATCTCCCACACCATGTGTACTAAATATAATACCCCTCAATTCCCTCCTCACCTACTCTCCCACACCCCTCCCCTTTGGTAACCACTAATTCATTCTTGGAGTCTGCTGCTATTTTTTTCCTTCAGTTTTGTTTCATTGTTATACTCCACAAATAAGGGAAATCATTTGGCATTTGTCTTTCTCCACCTGGCTTATTTCAAGGAGCATAATGTCCTCCAGCTCCATTCATGTTGTTGCAAATGGTAGGATTTGTTTCTTTCTTATGGCCGAATAGTATTCCATTGTGGTATACACATCTTTATCCACTCATCTACTGATGGACTCTTAGGTTGCTTCCATATCTTGGCTACTGTAAAAAGTGCTGCAATAAACATAGGGGTGCATATGTCTTTTTGAATCTGAGAAGTTGTATTCTTTGGGTAAATTCCAAAGAGTGGGATTCCCAGGTCAAATGATATTTCTATTTTTACTTTTTTGAGGAACCTCCATATTGCTTTCCACAATGGTTGAACTAGCTTACATTCCCACTAGCAGTGTAGGAGGGTTCCCCTTTCTCCGCATCGTTGCCAGCATTTGTTCTTCTTAGTCTTTTCGATGCGGAGCATCTTTTCATGTTTCTGTTTGCCATCTGAATTTCCTCTTTCTTTGGAGAACCATCTCTTCATATCCTCTGCCCACTTGTTAATCGGGTTATTTGCTTTTTGGGTGTTGAGGCATGCGAGTTCTTTATATATTTTGGATGTTAACCCCTTGTCGGATATGTCATTTACAAATACATTCTCCCATATTGTAGGATGCCTTTTTTGTTCTGTTGATGGTGTCCTTTGCCATACAGAAACTTTTTAGTTTGATGTAGTCCCATGAGTTCATTTTTGCTTTTGTTTCCCTTGCTCAAGGAGATGCATTCAGGAAGAAGTTGCTCATGCTTATATTCAGGAGATGTTTGCCTATGATGTCTTCTAAGAGTTTTATGGTTTCATGACTTATAATCAAGTCTTTAATCCATTTCGAGTTTACTTTTGTGTATGGGGTTCCCAGCAGTTATATTTTACAGAATTCTCTACCATTTTGGTGAGAGTATGCTCCCTACTATGCGCAAAAGAGGGCTTCAGAACTTATAAATGGACAATAAACTCAGAGGCCTATACTGATTTACCATGAAATTTATGAAAACTCAATACATAGTTTTAACTTACCTGCCAATTAATCCAAGTATTTCCCCCATGCTTGAGAAAAATTGTTATATTTAGAAACAGAGGTTTTAAAATATGAAAATATTAAAAGAGAGAAATGACCTTACCTAATTTGTGATGAATTTTGTTCTCTGGTGTTACTTTGGATTTTTTTACTCTTGAGTCACCTGCAAAATTCAGGAGACAACATCATGAACAATGACTGCTAACTCCATGTTGAGTTAAAGTGACTTACATAAAGCATAAATAATTAAAAATAAAATTTGACCTGAAAATATACTTTATTACTCCTTTTGCTTTTCACTGCTGAGGAATACAGACTGATGAAAAACAGTGTAACATTTCTCTAGATTTTGCTCAGATAATAGCAAAATAAATATGCCTAAGAGTATGGCAGTCAAAATTACAAAACACAAACAGGTTTTCCATTGCACCTGGACTTCAGATGAAATAAGCTACTTGGTGGATAAAAAGGCAGGGCATAATAATGAATAATTAATATAACAATGTAAAATGAACTTTAAAATTCTGAAGTAATACAGCTATATTGAATTCAACAGTGTGATAATCAGTCATGGTTTCTAAACTTTAGAGTGGTAAAGATCATCTTTTAATTCAACAGTGTGATAATCAGTCATGGTTTCTAAACTTTAGAGTGGTAAAGATCATCTAAACATTGCTGCCATAACTCTCCCTTCCTTTGCACAAATGTTGCACTTTATCAAAAGGCACAGTCTTACTCCCTTGTCCTTGAATCTCTCCTGGCCTTCGTGACTTGATTAACTAACTAAATACAGCAGAAACGACGTTCTGGAACTTCAAAGGTTAAGTCCTAAGAAGATGTGCAGGTTCCACCTAGGCCTTTTGGGACCTCACTGTAGGAAAATGCAGTCACCATATATGAAGGCTGACTACCCCAAGACTGAAATGCTGCAAGGAAACCTACACTAACCACATGGAAAGGCCATGTGGAGGAAAAGAGATGCTTGGCCAGCCTCCAATTGTTCCAGCCACTCTAGCTGGATGTTAAATATTTAAGTAAAGAAGTAACCTTGACCTTCAGCCCATTTGAGCTTTCAAATGATTCCAGCCCCAGACGCTTGCATCTAACCATAAATGCATGAGAGAACCCAAGTGAGAACTGCCCAGCTAACCCAACTGAACCCACAGAACCATGAGATAAATCAATGGCACTAAGATACTAAGTTTTGGGTGGTTTGTTATTCGGGAATATGGAACACTTAATGTCCATGAACCACCTAAAACTTTTGATACAAATTTGTATATAATATGCATTTCCTAAAAAGTAGAACTAAGCTTTCATTACATTCTCAAATAATTTCATGATACCAAAAGACTGTTAAAAATTACTGAATTAGAAACTTTATAAATTGCTGGTTTGGAAGAAACTTCAGTGACCATACAATCTAATTTCTCAGTCCAGAATAGGCAAATCTATAGAGATAAAAGTAGAATAATGGATGCCTACATATGTGGGGCAGGAGGTGGAAGGGTAGATTTGAGGGAAAGGAAGGTGCCTGCTAAATAAATGGCATGAAGTTTATTTTTGGGGTTGATAAAAAATGTTCTATAATTTATTGTGATAGTTACACATCACTCAGTTATATACTATATATGAAGTAACGGCATGGTGCATGAAATATATCTCAGTAAAGCTGTTACAAAACAAATTTCCCATACAATCCCCACTCCCTACTAGAACAAGTGATGGCCATTCTCAGTTTGAAAATTTTCATATAGCAGTGGGCCTTGAAGGCAGCTGGTAGAGTCAGAGAAGGAATTAAACAAGTAAGTAAATAATCCGAGGATAATGGAAGCTAGTTCTCTCACTATATAACAAAGGGGTTTATAAAAAGTGGAAAACGAAAAATCAACAGTGTGGACTAGAATTGGAGGTACTGATGTGAACTCATGATTTCTAAATATAAGTACAGAAACAGATATAAATGCTTGTGTATGTATGGTGTAGATATATGTATATACATATATTTGTGTATATCTATTTCCTATCCCAGTAACAATGAGCACACCAAGCTGAACTTCTAAGCCATCCTCCACTAAAAAGAACCAGGTTCCTTAGGAGAAATAATTGAGTCCAGAGTTGAAACAGAGAAAGTAACATAGAATACCTTATGCCAAAAAATAAGAAAGTATTCAAAAATGATAGAAACATAATAAATGGAGATATGAATTAGTTGAAAGGATGCCTACTGGCCAAATGTGGCATAATTTAACTATCAGAATAAATGAAAGATTATAACCCATCAAATAAAATACAAACCCAGTAGAACTCCATAATAATATAAACAAATGAATAATGAATAAATAAATAGGGAAGAAATAAGAAAAACTATTTTTTATAGAAGGCCAACTAATTAATAGAGAAGGAATTAGGGAAATAGAATATATATTTGGTATTATCATTAGTGGCTGATGATTCAGGTGGAAGTTTTCAACAGATGCTGAGATTGGAATGGAGATCTGCAAAAGATATATGTTATTGAATTTCATCAGGATATCACTTCACAAAATACTTATTATGAAAGAGAAAAACATTATTATCTAAAGTGGAGAAACCTGGCAGACAATAACTTCAATGGGAGAACAAGATTAGTATCACCAGTTAGTTATGGGTTAACACTGTGCTTCCTATGCAGAAAGAACAAAGCATCATTTCTGTAATATTTCTGTAACATATGTATGACAGGTGTCTGATCATGAGAAAGACCCAGGATGAAGGTCATTCTTAACAATGAAAAGCTTGTACTCTCTGAAAAAATGTAAAGATCAGGAAAGTTAGAAAAAGTCTAAGGAACTATTCTTATTGAAGGAAACTGAAGGTATATGGGAGCTAAATGCAATCTATGATCCTGGACTGGATCCTGAACCAGAGAACACTAATGGAACTGCTGGTGCAATCTGCATTGAATAAGTGAAGGAATACTAGAGTTATATTAATGCTGATTTCCTGACTTGGAGAGTTCAAGGGTGATTATGCTCTTGTCTTGCATCCTGTCTGCACATAAGCACAGAATAGTATGTGTCCAACTGATTCCCATAGTTCAGAAAAAGCTAATAATAACAAATGTGATAAATGTATACACAGGGGAGGCAAGAAGGGAGATGGAACAAATGTAAAATGTTGATGAAGGGGATACAGGATTTCTGCATAAGTTTGGAATTATTTCAAGAAACTATTTAAAAGAAGGATGACACACACAGACACACATTTCAGACCCAAAGATATACACAGACTAAAAGAGATGGAAAAGATATTTCATACAAATAATAATGAGGAAAAAGCAGCAATATCAGTACTTACATCAGACAAAATAGATTTCAAAGCAAAGAAAGCAACAAGAGACAAAGAAGGGACATTACATAATGATAAAGAGGTCAGTCCAAAAAGATGTAAGCACTATAAATATCTATGTATCTAACACAGGAGCATATAAATATGTAAAAAAATAGAATTAATGGGAGAAATAGATTGCAGCATATTCATTGAAGCAGAATTGAACACACCATTCACATCATAGATCAACAAGACAGAAAATAAATCAGGGAACAGAGGTACTGAACAATACATTAGATCAAATGGACTGAACAGACATCTACAGGAGAGTCCACCCAAAGCAACAGGATACACATTTTTATCAAGTGTACATGGAACATTCTCCAGAATAGATCACATACTGGGCCACAAAAACAGCCTCAATAAATTAAAAAAGACTGAAACTGTATCAAGCAGCTTCTCAGAACACAATGAAACTAGAAATAAATTATACAAAGAAAAATTAAAAAGCCTGCAAACACATGGGGGCTAAACAACAGGCTTCTAAAAACCAATGGATCAGTGACCAAATTAAAACAAATCAAGCAATACAAGGACACAAATAGAAGCAAAAATATAACAGTTCAAATACATGGGACACTGCAAAAGCTGTTCTAAGAGGAAAGTACATAGCAATACAGACTTTCCTCAAGAAACAAGAACAATCCCAAATGAACTCACAATTAAAGAAACTAGAAAAAAAAGAACAAATGAAACCCAAAGCTAAAAGGAGGAACATAATACATAAAGATCACGGAAGAAATAAATAAAATAGAGAAGAATAAACCAATAAAAAAAATCAATGAAAACACAAGCTGGGTCTTTGAGAAAATAAACAAAATGACAAACACCTAGGCAGACTTATTAAAAAAAAAGAGCATCCAAATATAAACAAAGTAAGAAATGAAAAAGGAATAATCACAACAGATACCATAGAAATTCAAAGAATTATTTAGAAAATTTCATGAAAAAAATGTATGCCAATAAATTCAAAGAAAGCTAGAAGAAATGGAAAAATTCCTAGAAAAATGCAACCTTCCAAGATTGACCAAGGAAGAACAGAAAATCTAAACAGAACAATTACCAGTAAAGAAATTTAACTTGTAATTTAAAAAACTCCCAAGAAACAAAACCCTATGCCAGATGGCTTCACAGCTGGATTTTAGCATATATTTAAAATAGTGTCGATACCAAATCTTTGTGAACTGTTCCAAAAGGTAGAAGATAAGGGACTACACTACTTCCAAACTCACTCTATGAGGCCAGCATCATTCCAATACCAAAACCAGAAAAGACATTACAGAAAAAGGAAATTATAGTGCAATATCCCTGAACACAGATGCAAAAATCCTTGACAAAACATTAGCAAACCGAATTCAAAAATATATCAAAAGGATGATCCACAACAACCAAGTAGGATTTATTCAAGGGATGCGAGGATCATACAATATTTATAAATCAATGAACATCATACACTACATTAACAAAAAGAAGGATGAAAACCACACAATCACCTCAGTAGATGCTATAAAAGCATTTGAAAAATTCAACATCCATTCATGATAAAAACTCTCAACAAAATTATTATACAGGGAATTTACCTAAACATAATAAAGTCCATATACAAGAAACACACATCTAACATCATACTCAATGGTGAAAAGCTGAAAGCTTTTCCTCTAAGATCAGGGACAGGACAAGCATGTCCTCTCTCACCACTTTTATTCAACATGGTACTGGAGATCTTAGCCATGGCAAAATAAAAATAAAAAACATCCAAATGTGTAAGGAAGAAGTAAAACTGTCAGTATT